ATGATATGATATGATATGATATGATATGATATGATATGATATGATATATGACATATATATGTATCATATCATATGGAGACATTTTTTCATTTTTGCCACTCATCTTTTTTAGAGAGGTGTTTACTAAGGTCTTGGCTATTTTTTAAATCGGGTTTTCTTGTTGAGTTTTAAGAGTCCTTTCTATATTTTGAGTAAGTCTTTATCAGAAGTATCTTTGGCAAAAATCCTCCCAGTTTTGCCATTTTATTCCCCTAGCATTGCCTTATCAAGGAAGAATTTGTTTTTAATTGAATTTTTCACTTTGTGTGTTTATGTATGTAGATGCTCAATGCCACGTGTGTGGGTAAAGGCCAGATTGCTGGAGTCTGGTCTCTTCTACAGTGCTGGCTCTGGAGATGAACTCTGGTTCTCAGTCTTGACAGCAAGCATCTTTACCCACTGAGCTATCTCACTGGCCCAGAAAAATCACAATTTTAATGATGTCCAGCTTATCAATTATTCCATGTTTGATATAGTATCTAAAAAGTTATTATGAACCCAAGGTCATTGAGATTTTCCTCAAGCTTATTTTTTTGAGACAGGGTTTCTCTGTATCACACCCTGGCCGTCCTGGAACTCACTTTGTCGACTGGACTGGCCTTGAACTCACAGAGATCTGCCTTGCTTGCCTCCCAAGCGTAAGAAATAAAAAGTGTGTGCCTTGACGCCTGGCTTATTTTCCTATAGTTTTGTGTTTTATGTGTAGGTCTGTTATCATTTCAAGTTAATTTTTATCAACAATATGAGATTTGTGCTAAATTAATTTTATTTCATTTGAATGTTCAGTGACCCCCTACCCTATATGTAGGAAAGGCTGTGTGCTCTCCATTACGATGCTTTTGGGCTTTCTTCATAGATCAGCATTCATGTGGGCCGAGCTCTGAACTCAGAACTCTGTTCCGCTGACCTATTTGTGTCACCCTGTTTCCCCATCAGGGAGTGCTGGGCTCCACTTTTCATTCTGTTAGTGCAGTGGTGACTGTTTTCAGTCTTCTTTGTCTTCATAGAACCTCTAGGATCACTTGTCAGTTACCATGAAACAGCTCAGTTACATTTTGATTAGGGTTGTGCTCCATCTCTAGAGTTGATATCTTAATAGCATTGCATCCTGCTGTCTGTAAACACAGAACATCTCTGGGTGGTTCTTTCAAAAACTTTTATTTATCACTGTTGCAGTTTTATAATTTACATGGAGGTTTCACTTGTGGTTT